CTGAAACAGAAACTTTTAAAAATCATTGAGTTTAAACTCATCATTTTATCATCAAAGTTACTTTGAACACATGAAAGAAATAACCAAAACCAATGAGCTCCACCAAGACCTAGGAGATCCACTAAATGGATAAAACATGCTTGATCTTGGCTGTTGGCTTTGATACATCTTATTAGGAAATGAGTACTTTGTTTGTATGAAATTTTATTTATGCTTTGTCAGTTTAACATCTTTTTAGGAAATTGGAACTTTTTTTATTGCAGACATTTTAGGAAATGGAACATTGACTATCCCAACTTTTGTTGCATAATATTTTCTTTTTTTGTTATTTTTCACTTCAGATAAATTCTTTTCCACAGTATCCTTTCTTTGGATAAGTAGTAACATCATATTATACAATTCAACTTTTTACCAAACTTATCCTTCATGGAGCTTGTTGACAAGGATTCATCCAAGGCGGCTGTGGTTGCTCCAAAAGTGTTTGTTTGATAGTTATATGCATATGCTAAGGTTTTTTTTCTGGTAGCTTCTGATATAGGAAGGTTTTGCATGGCAATATTCCTAGCTTCAGCAAAGTGGGCATAATAAGGAAAACCATCTTAGGCGATTGGCTAGCTGAATAAAAAGCAATTAGCCCAAGCATTCCCAAATGCTTTCACATATGTTATTGTAAGTAGCATCGTCGTGACAATGTAAGAAGCATTAGCAAAAGAAAGCCCAAACGAAAGCTTTATTTAGAGAGTCACGTTGAAATATTAGTCTCTAATTTTCGCTGAAATTAACTATTAGTCCAAAAAAGTAATTAGTAACTATCAATACACACTAATACACATTGAGGACCCTCCAAAACTAGAAGACAACTATTCTACATGGCCTGTTGAGATGCCCTTTATTATGCTTCCAAATATTTTTGATTGATTGCATTTAGCGTTACAAATGTGAAAGGAAACATTAATAGATGTGTTGTGCATAATGTTGTTTCTTTTAAACAAATTACTAGCTTAGACTGTGAAGGTAGGAGAAAAGTGTAAGTACATAGGAAGAATGGTAACTTGCATTTTTAATGGTGCTCTACGATACACATATATGCACTAAGCTATAGAGAACATGGTGTGTATTTTGGCAATAATTGTTATGACCTTACACCTTTGATTATGCCATTTGCTATAGATGAAGGCTCGAGATGCGCTTTTGTTAGTAGTGGAGCTGCTCTTGTTGTTGTGATTGTTTTTGGATTGTTGTGATCCCTTCTTAAGTTGATGGTTTTTGTTAGAAGCATCAAATTGTTATGCAGGCAATGAAATCTCAAGGTGGAGAGAGATTTACTGAAGATGTCAATAATTTGATCTTGAGACAAGAGAAGTCATATATGGAGATTGTTTGAGCGTTGATTCAATTATTGATAAAGTGTTAGTCAACTTCTATGCGCTTTGTTTGAGCGTGAAAGAAGATATTGTTTACTAGAGTAAAATTCAATATAGTTTAACAAGCAAGCCAGATAGGTTGCTCTAGGGCACATGAAATTTCTGAAGTAATGGGTGAATCCATGTAATTTTTGTTTCGGTCGTGTCAAAAGCACTATTTAGCTTTTGTTGATGAGTGGGCAACTATCGAATGCTTTTTGACAACCTATTTTATTAAATTGTCTCCTAAGAATACACAACAAACTTTTGTGAATTTTCAATCTTTGGTATCTCTAGCCGAATTAGAGTCGAAATAGCTTTTTAATTAAAAATTTGTGACGATTATGGGAAGAACAACGCTGATTGTGTTATGGCAGCAGCGGGGCAATTGCTTTAGATATTGGTAGACGGATTTAAGGGGTTTGTGCATGTGTTGATATGCTTTGTTAATGGCAAAGAAGATGTTAGGATGAGATATGCTTAAATATTGAAGAGATTTGCAGATGCTTGTATTGTTGCAGGTTTGAGAAATTGTTGTTTGGGAGTGTAGTGGGAGGTTCTTTGTTTTATTTTTGTTTTGGATTGGTTTTTAAGATGTTATACTTTCTCAATCTATGGTACACTAGAATAGAGAGATTGGTTGAAATGTAAGCTAGTTGATGTTTTGTTGATATAGAGACCAAGAAAGTGATGGATTTAACCTATATTTCACTTATGGAGTTTTTGTTAAGGGTGTGAAGTATATTGTCTATTGCTGGATTGTTATTTCCTGCTACTAGTTCATCCACATAGATGAGAACAAAAGTGTGAATTTTTCCTTGATCTTCAATCATGAGTGTGAGATTGATGAAGCTTGAGTGAAACTTATAATAATATAGATGCCCAAAAATTGAGGTGTGATCGGGTGGATGTCAACACCTCAATTGTTAGATGAGTTTAATCGGGTGGATGTTTAGATTTGCTAGTGCTTGAAGGGCATGAAATTCCTCTAATATATACTTGTGCTAGCATTTATGCTTGACTAGGAGTAACATAAAGGATTCGGTCGGTGATGAGTGGTATGAGCAAGGTCAAGAATTTGCTTCAGTTTGAAGTTTCCTGTTTCTAACAGAGTGATCATGGGATGTTTGATGAGTTGTGGGGGTATTGTGGTGAAGTGGGATAAAAGGGAGAGTTTTGGTTGGGATTTTTATAATCGGATGTAATAGTTAGTGTGGATTATTCAAGTAAGATTGTCTGAGTAGCATTTTGAGGTGTGGTTATGGCTGAAATGGGTGAGGGAGGGAGAATTGTGATGCAGGGAAGGTCCAGATGAGTTGTTGTGAGAGGTTCATGGTGAGTATATGGATGTTATAGGAGTGATGGGAGAGTCTATGTTGGAGTGGACAAATTTGTTCAATATGGGGGTTATGGAGTGATAGGGAAACTCATTAAAGTCAATTATAAGTCAACATGTTACAACATGAAGATTTTGTTGGTGGGTGGGTGGTATCATTTGTTGCATTTATATTTGTCAGTATAGTCGAGGAAAACAGATTGAAAGTGTTTGCGGAGTTATTTTTGAAGTTGGTGAGGGAGGAAGATTTGTGATGTCGGGAAGGCCTGAATGAGTTGTTGTGAGAGGTGTATGATGAGGAGCTGGGTGTTATAATAGGAGTGATGAGATGGTTGTGTGTTGAGTTGGGCAAATTTGTTCATTGTAGGGGTTGTGGAGTGATAGGGAACGATATCCTTA